TGACTGAAGTGAAACCATGACAGAAATGCATGTAGAAAGGAATAAAATAATAATGGAATAATAGGCATACTAGAAATGACTTGGGATTCAGCCACATTCAGTCAGGTAGAATTAAAATGGTGAACGTGTGCATTTACATGGAAACAAAATGAGTCTTCAGGAATCCAGTGTCTCTTCTTGGCTGTAAAATGTTTCCAGTTAAATCTAAAATATTTAGAGGCTTGTTACTGAAAGTGTATTCACTTGTATTGCTTCTGAGCCTTTCTCTTTTGAGAGACTAGGTTGAATTTGGAATTAGTCTTTCCAAAAATTAAATTATCCTCTGAACGGTTTTCCTTGGTATAAGCAAAATAATTATAATCCAGTTTGTAGTGGATGTGTGCCCATATAATAAAAATCAAAACCCTATTTGGATGCTAATTTGGCACTAACTTGTACTGTCTTCTAGAAACTCATCAGAGAGGTGAAAAATAAGTTGAGTAAGAAGATTTTTTCCCTCTTAAGAGGTAGTGCTGTAAAATCTTGAAAACATTCAATTTCCCCCAAAAATGTTACAATGTTGAGATGGGAAGAGGATGGCACAGTTAATTTAAAAGTTTTCAACCTAAAATCAAGGTTGGGCAAACTCATGGGAACAGCTGATAGAAGAGCTGATTAATAAAGAATTGAGGGAGCTTAATATCATTAGTTCAAATCCATTGATATGTGTCAGCTTAACAATAGGTTTTTATGAGAAGATCAAATAAGGATCAATAAAGGTGGAAATAGTGTTATAACAGACTTCTGTAAGGTTATATTTCTGCTATTTCATGTGTTGATGGTGAAAGTGAATGATACAAAATCCTCAAGCCACTTGAAGCTGATTCAGAGCCAAATCTGTTTTAAGCCTTAAAATGGGAAAAGTAGTAGGGATTTTTATCAACAGATGAGCTTCCAGTGGAGTACTGTGGATTGATTGCTGGTATTTTTCTGCCTATATTATTTGTAATTTATGTAAGAGTAGTAGGTAATAAAGACAGGCAATCTATAAGCACCTATATGGGCAAGGAAAGTTTAATAGCATATAATTTTTCTATCCAGCAGACAACAAAATCCACAGACAGATGTCAAACTTTGCCAAATTCCAACTAGTAATAGAGCATATTTTTTAAACAGTGAAAAAATGAGCTATTGGAACAATTTACCACAACTGTATTAGATCTTCCATAACTGCAAACTGGATGATATTCTTTAGTTAAAGCAAGAAGTAATTTAGTAATTTGTTTGGCTTACCATATAATAAAAGTAAGTTCTGTTATTGCATTCTAGTATTAATACATGACAATTTGTTAAAGGAAATTTATTTGAGTTAGCACAGAAGGATTAAGCAAAAAACCCTCTATCTCGTCAGTTCTTGATGTCAGTAGAGAACTTATTCAAGCCTTTTCCAGGTGTGTACTATCAGATCAGAGACCTATCTTGGTTCTCGATTTTGTTGCCTTGATTTGGGGCACAAAGCTTTTGAAACATTAGGTCTTCAGCCAGCGGTGCTGACCAACCACCTGTTACACTGAAATTAAAGAAAACAAGGGTTTGTGTGCTTTTTGGAAATAATAAGTGCTTAAACTCTGATATCTGAAGGTGTCCCACTGAGTTTTAAGCCTTTGATAATTTTGATAATCAGGTGCTACATCTGAAAATTTTCCACTGAAAAGGACCTCAACATTAAAGACCAAACTTAAAATGTGAAATCTCTCTGTTTCCATTTTACAAGCCTGTTCTTTAAAGGCACATACATCAAGTAGTATTAGTAATGCACACTTTTTTTCCAAAACCTTTTCTTTAGAAAACTAGTTAGAAAATTTTATATTTTAAGGTGTCCAAAGACCAAATAGTCATTTTGTATTTTTTTTTTAAGCATATTGTTTGCAGATCGTTTATAGAAGCTTTAAAAACAGATCATTTCCGAGGATAGCTCCAACAACAATCTTCATCTCTATTAAATGTGCTGAAAAAACAACTTTAAGGCTTTGCCTGCACTAATTTTTGCTTTGAGCACCAGGTGGGGCTGTAATCACATTTGTCTTTAACAAGACAAATTCCTTCGGTATTTTTTTTAACAACATGTAAAGAATACTTGGTGTTGAAATTATTTACAGACCCTTGAAGTGAGAGATATCTTTTGCTCCAATAAGTCTGATCTTTCTAGATTTCATTTATAATGAGGAATCTGAGATGGGCTGATGGAAATAGTGTTAAAACTGTTGCTGATAATCAACCCCTTCTAGTGTGGACAAGGAGCTACACAAATATAGGTCTATTGCTTTGCTGTCAAAGGTAGCATCTTTTCAGAGTACAGGGCTGTGCTTTGTGGAAGTACCTGCTGAAGAAAGCACTAGCTCAGGTGTGTCTCCACAGCATGCCATTACACCTGTTATGTGTAAGAGTGAACAAAACACTATAATTACTATAGTTCAGAAAAGAGACATTTTCAGTTTTTCTCAGGGTATGCCTGAACCTCCGGACTCTCTTTGTGTAAAGGGCAAATGAGCAAAATAGAGTATTAGTTGTTTTGAACTAACTCAAAGACAACTCCTTTTAGATCTTGTGTATCTTATTGTCATTTTAATTTTTAATGAATTCAGGAAAATAAAAACACAGAAGTGTAGGACTCGCATTGTGTTTGTGCTCTTAAGTTCTGGTGTACGTTTGGCTGCATTAAGCAATATTTTTCTTCATGTTTGCAAGCTCCTTGGCTCTTTTGTAATCATGTACATTCCTTGCTAAGCTTTCCTTTAAATATCAATCCATTTCTATGTAGTTACCTTCAGTTTAACTTTCTGCAGGGGGATCTCTGTGCAGCTATCCTCTGAGAATACTTGGGAAATGATACGTGGAATAGTCTGAGATTGCTTTGGTATGGCGAAAGCTTGAAAATGTTCACTTGGATAGCTTAAAGTAAATAAATAAGGCTTTTACTGAGTACAGTATGTTTGCAGATTCACATTTTTAGTTAGCTGTGGAGTATCTTGTACTTTGGCGCATAAGTTACTTCAAAAGTCACATTTTGATTTTGAACTCCAGGACATATACACTTTCTTCTAACTACTTTAGATGCTGGGGTTTTTTTTTTTCCTCCTATGTGCCATTGAAAAATTAAAAATCGTTTGAGATAGTATAGATAGTAACTAGCTTTAAAGTGAATATACAGGAGGGACTTAGAGGTGGAACATTCTTGGCATGGAGCTGTGGGGATTGGAATACAGACCTCTGCATGATCCAGTGAAACTTATTTTGCTTAACCTTCTAGACTCTCTTTCTCCTTGTTAATGGAATTTTCAGGTTTGTGTATGTTGTTAGTCAATGATTTTGTGGTGATAACACTCGGTATTGGTAAAAATAATTAAATACACAAATAGAGGTCCATATTGCTGAGTTAGAAGCCTTGCTGAAAAATCCTTTACTTGCTTTTGATCTTGGTAATTAATAAAGCATAAGGAACTACAGAGGAACAACTGAACAGGCACAGGACTTTGAAAGCAAGACAACTATATGGAGCCAGATGACAGTAGAGAAGCAGAGGATGTACAGAGGGATTATATCATTTATTTCCTTGAAAAGATCTCAAAACTATGATAAATGGATGAGGAAGACAGACTGAACGAAAAGAAAACTAAAGTAAAATCAAAGAATTAAAGTGAGAAAAAAAAGAACCACAACAAAATTCACCATTCATGTTCTGAACCACAAAACCGAACAGACCGGGAAAAGTGCATTGCATGATTTTTGTTGCTTTTCAAAAATTACTTAAAATGGATCCCAATCATGAAGAATGGTCAAGGTAAAGGTTACCAAGGAAATTTAGAGAGAAATATTAAGATCCTTTTTGAATGACATTTGAATTTATTACAAAGTGTTTTTTTAATAGCAGGAAATGCCCAGAATGGCTCAGGAAAGAGAATAGGAGTTATGCCCATGTTATCTTCAGCATGTTGGTGTTCATTTTAATTACAGCTTGTAAGGTTTTTGTCATTTTTGCTAGCATAACTATTATTTTTTCCCTACTAATCTTCCATGCTGAAATGCAAAAAACCCTGTCATTAGTGTAAAGCATTTAGATCACTAATTATAACTCTCCTGCATCTTTAACTTGTGAATATATAAGTTGCAAAGTATTTTTGTGTTGTCAGCTGATAGATCAAGTGATACAATTTCTAAAACCATATCACCTAATTTATGCTCTGGTACCACAGTTGCATGTAGACAAGATGCTTTCTTCCTCATATTCTGTTGCCTATGCCATAATATGCTTATGCTATTAAAAAAAAATCAGAGATATACACGTTAGTTCTTGAAAAGAGTCTGAGATAGAAGTAGAAGGCTGGCTTTGTATGGATTGTTTAATGTTGATACGGTTGAGCTCTTGAAAGTCTGAATTTAGGGCCTGATGTTGCTATTCTGAGGATAATAGGAGGGGTATAGAACTACCAATGACTGTAGCGGTTGCTAGGGAAAAAGTTAATCCAGATAATAACTTGCTGTAATCAGGCTTCCTGCTTGCAACTGAAATTGAACATGAGGAAACATAAATCTTCGCTTGTGGTAGCAGCCTTAATTGACTGAAGTAACAACAGCACTGAGAATGCAGGCAATGCAACCCAATAAAGTTTTCTATCATCCTTGAAGGTGCAGATTGATGAACATGCAAGGCACTCAGATATGTTTAGGAAGAGAAGCTGCAGAGAACACCTGATTTATTTTTTTTTTCCATCCTGGTTCTCTTCTAAATAGTCTCTTGTCCAGTTGCCATTCTGCTCATGTTGCTCTTTGATAAATGTAACAATGGCAGTAATATATACATTTTTGATTTATTAACTTTAAATCTCCCTATTGCGTTTTAGCAAGACTCAAAACACATTCTTACATTTGCTGCTTGCCTAGTTAAATATGCTAACTAGTAATACTCACAATAAGTCTGGCTGAGTGGTTCACTCCTTCTGAAATACTTATAAATTCATAATCATTCTTGAACACTTTATAACTTTCCTATGACTCTTTAATATTGTCGTGGTTTAACCTCAGCTGGCAACTGAGCACCACACAGCCGCTCGCTCACTCTCCCCCCCCAT